TTCGCTGGTGAAAAAAAAATGTTTGGAAAACCCGACCCACCCTAACGCTATGACCGGAGGGGATGCACCATGAAAGATGAATGACTCCCTCAGCTCTGTAATATCATGTCACTTATACGTGTGCCAAGTTTCTACCCTTCCATTTCTGTCCAATTCACCGCAACATTTTTTTTCTTCAAAACATTGCACCTCGAAAAAATTTCCCCAGGGGATTTATCGAGACTTGACATTTTCTTGAACTGCTTGTCTCAGTAGTCACCCTTGAAGGGTCAGAAGAGTAGATGAGGTCGGGTCGAAAGAGAAGCCCCGAACGATGGCGGTTCGAGCCCTAGGGCAAACGACGTCACTGGTATACACCTGCCCCGACTGCTCCGTTCTCGCCGTTGGTTTTCCTCCGACGTGACGATATCATTCGAAGCACGATGTCCACATTTCGTAACCGATCGCTCTTTAAAAAAAAATCCCTTAAATCGAGGAAGGGAAGGCATCGAATGGGAAAGAGGCGGGGAGAATTCCGTACGGAAAGTTTGAGGGGAATGCGACCGTAGTGAGAACGTATCGGTAGGTCACACCTCGTACGATTACCCTATTATTTACGGAAATCGTTAACACGTGTCATTTGCCCTTTCGAAATGGCAACGAAAATATGTGTTCATCGTCACACTTCTTCGTTCCGTGTTTCTCTATCCCAAAATCTGAGGAAAGGAGCTCGTTCGTCACGGTCGGGGCAAATCGCGCGATTTTCACGAACGCCATCGAGATATTCCTTCTCGCAAACTTCAACGAAAGACTTCCGTTTCTTCCTCGCCTTCGTGTCCTTGCCGAACGACTCAGAATTTACGAAGAGAATCCAGGTGAACGGCCGCGTTCTTACAGATATTCGGGATACTCGACGGTCGACTCGGAATTTCGATCGGATCGTCTCGGCGAAAGATGACGGTCGACCCCAAAGGATTCTTTTGGGATCCCTCCCTCGGTCTACTTGAGGGATTTCATCTTCCGCGCGTTTGCACCGCATCACTTAGGTCTTTAACTACCCACCCAGGTTCCTTTGAAACGATGAAAGGAACGTTTCTCTCCGTCGGCTCCAAAATCGTGAGATGTTCCCTGGAGATGTTCTCGCAGGCGGCGACTGCACATAGTACCGGCATCTGCGAATGCTATGATCCTGGCAGCACCACAATCTAGAGATGCAATCGTTTCTCGGCCCGCTCGTGGTAAGCATTCGTCTAAACGCTAAATTGTAAAGCTCTTCACCGACTTTTTTTCACGATCCAGAATCGTGTATCCTTCCAGGCATCGATCGTGTTCGTGATCCCCACCGGGCAAACTCGAGTGATTCCGCGAAAGAGGCTTTCCACGGGAGGACGAACGAGGATGAACACGTGGTAGATAAACGTGAATTTTCCGATAACGAGCGAGACGCAGATGGCAAAGCGCTCGAGGTATCGTTCGCGAGGGTTCTCGCGGAAATCAACATCAGCGTTCAAAAGTTTTCTTTTCGCCCCCAGACCCACAAATATTCGCGTATGGATCCTTCAGACGTTCCCCCCCCACCGGGTCACGAAGATCCACTTGCGCCTGCATCTGACGTGGGGGGGAGACGATAAAACGCGCCTGCTCGGACACGAGATCCGTTTCGAGGCTTCTTCTCCGTGCCTTATCGGTTGGTTTCCAACAGAGAACATCCTACTTACCCCATCTCACCGTATTTCATGCGAGGGTTTACCCGTCTGTCCGCGATCTCGACCGTGCCCTTGGACTCCGCATTCGACGGATCGCCCTCGATGACGAAATCGGGACGATCCGCGAGAGTGTTTCCACCTCTTTCGTCTCTCGATCACGTGCACACGTGCCGTCGGGGATCGCACGAGCCACGGATGGAACCCTCCGCGGATGGCATCCTCCACGGATGGAACCCTCCCGTAGGGCAACCGACCGTCCCGCGTCCGGCAGACGACGAGAAACGTCCCGCAAAGAAAACGGAAAAATGAATTTAAAAAATATATACTGTAAATGAGCTCTCGCCCCTGGCACCTTCCTTCTTCCTTCGTCGATCTCACTCTCCGACTCCGTCACCCGACCCTCTCGCATGGTGGCTTCTCGCCGATGGGACGCTAAGCTCGCGGCAAGACGGATCGAGCAGGAACGAAGCGAGGCCGTTCGAGCAGCCCGAGACCCGAGACGAACCCCTCGAAATCCCATTCGACTCGTACGCGGCTTCGAGCGTTTCGCGTCGCGGCAGAACTCGAAGGCGGGGAAGGCTCTCGATCCGCAAGGGTGAGGATCGAAAGACTCGCGAAATTTCCGTTCGCACGAAGGAAGAGACCCGATCGAGGCCACCGACGACGGATTCCGTCGCGCGTCCACCGATTCCGTTTCGACGTCGCGTAGACGGCAGGCCCGTGTAGCCCGTAGGCCGAGGGAAACGCGGCGTACCGAGAACCGACGGTCTCGGACGACGATCCGCGACGTGCACGTCGTTCTTTGACGTTCCGAAACGAGAACCCAGGCGACGTCGCCGAAGGCATCGCCCGATTCCCGCGAGATGCCGGCCCCGTCGGCGGAGGTCGAGCGATCTGCGTGCGACTCCGACCGAGACGGAGCAGGAAACGACCACGCCCGACTTAGGCCCACCGACCGACTCGGAAAGCAGACGTACGACGGCGAAGAGCACGCGGACCCGAGGACCGGAACGAAGTAGACGCGAATCGACGGGACGAACCGAAAGCAAGGCTTCCGTTGCGCTCCCGATCCCACCGAGATCGGCCTCTCTTCGCACTGCCTCTGGCCGCCACGGCCGGACTCGTTCCGTCCGGGAGACGCACGTTTCCCGCCGATCGCCCTCTTCCGATTCGTGACGTCGCGGACGTCGTCCGTCGTCCGAACCTCCGCGTGACCGGTTCCTGGAAGGGTCCAAGAGGTTCGAGGAGGCGATTCGTTCCTCCGGATCGGTCGGCCGAAAGCCGGCGTGGATTCAGAGGGCTCCGGAGGATGCGAGGGACCGTCCGATCGAACGACTCGGAAGCTCGAAAAGAGCGATTCCGCGATGGGCTCTCATCCGACTCGAACCCGACACGATTTCTTGCATCGCGACGAACCCTCGACGTACGCTTACCGTCGGCTTTCCCCCGAGAACAGATCTTCCCCGTGCAACAGGCGATCCCCCGTCGTGGCGCCACCCTCGCCGACGTCGTTGGAAAAAAAAGCTTATTCACTGGTAAGAGTCGACTCCGCATATTGAAATACTCCTGGGACCAGCGATCGTCGTTCTAAAATCCGGAACATTCCGATAACCGAAACTATCTGCTGTATCGTAAATGGGGACCGTGCAATGGTATTCCGATAAGCAGAGTATTCCGTCGTGCGGAGTCGACCGTATATCCTCCTCGACGTTTCGCCAAGTTGCATGCGTTCCGCAACCCTCATCCAGAGCAGCTAAATATTTCTTGTCGCCGTGACATATCGTAACCGGCTCGTTGCCGTAGAATGGATACCACACAGGAAAAGTGTATCGGTGGGGCCATTTGGTCGATTCGACCGTTGGAGATTTCGGTAGCGTAGCTTCTTGCAGACTGGGTTTCATCGAATGTGGCGCCACGTGCAGAACGGCACCAAAATCGGCTACGCCCGACAGTGGCGTCATATCTTTCGACCGTACGTGAATGTTCCACTCCGACGATAGAGTGGAGATGAAAAAATCATATCGTCATTGCATGAGAACGTGTTTATTTCACTCCTCTAATCGCCCTAGTGGAGAAAAGGAAAGACCATAATAGGAACCAACAAAGCATTATCAAAGAATTACTGCTTGGCACGAGAAAATAAAAAAGTAGCAGCTCGGCGATTCCCAGCCGTAGTAATGTATTCCATCATTCCGTGCATCGAAGGTAACCCTGATTTCGAAGCGATGCACGAGGATCCCTGTTAAGATCGACACGAAGAAGAACGAAAAGGCAAGAACAAAATAAATATCTCTCTTGATATGTTCTCCCTCGGATAGGGTCACCTGGAAATAGCGGAAAGCACGATCGAAAGGAAGAAAAACAGATTCGCACTCTTGAGTATTGTTAAAACGTGAAAAGGATCGGCGATATCACTCCGACGCTTCTCTCCGGTCTCTGCGGCAACACGTGACGATGGGAAGATGGACCAGGTACGCGAGTAAATGAGCACCAAGGGTAAACAGAGTCCAAGGCAGCTGCCAGCCGACGACGGGGATGGGAATCCGGGTACCGGTGCGGCGTGCAGCCGTCAATACTCTTCGTCATTGCACTCTCCTCGTACGTGTCCAAACACTACAACGTTCGACCGGGTCACGTGAGATCGAGGCAGACAGAGCATTCAGAATTAAGGATGAATCGGTTGAAGAGAAATGGAACGTAATGTTGGAATCATAGGGCAAAAAATAAAAGAGAAGAATGGGGGGGGGGGGGGGAAGTAGAATCCCCAAAAATAATAGAATATTAGAGTGTGGTAAAATAAAGAAAATTTGGTGTCATAAAAGGTGAACACGAGTGTGACTTTTTTTTCGGAGGCAGATGCAATCAAATGCATGCACAGATTGCAGCATTTTCCCATACGTCACACTCATCGATCAGCCTATTGCGTCTTTCACATTTCACTCCTCTACCTGCTGCAAAAAAAAACGACTGTCCTAAAGAGCTGCCCAAGATGGACTGCCACTTAGGCACAGAATAAAATTTTCCAACTACTCCATATGTTAATCAGTAACCTAAATCAATGTACAACCATCATTTTAATATCATACTTGATATGATAATTTATGAGAATATGATTAACATACTTGATTGTACCTATCGAGAGACAGACCCAATACCAAAATAGCTGTTGTGTGAGGATGAAATTACCTAACAGAACAACAATTGCATCCCCTGATCCCCTTAATACCACACGTATCTACATATACTGACAAGTAACAGAACAATTAGCATTTGATGACACATGAATAAATAACCTCTATTCTACTTTGATATCGCACTTCATGAAGGAATGAAAAAATTGAGTTCAGGATGAGGAGCGAAAAGGAAAGCAGAGAAGATCGTAGAAGGCAAAGAAGACGATAAGACACAGCCAGACGAGCCAGGAGAGGATCCACGAGAGTAAAGAGCTCCACGACTCACAATAACCTCCTTTGTGTGTGCATTATGAAACGAATGCCCATGTGAAGACATCAACGTGTCCAAATGAGACCATCCCATCCATGCACTTTCCCAAGGACCATTAACATTTCAATCCGAACGTTTGCTCGGTGAAGAAGCAGACCGGAATGAAGTTCTCACCTTCACAGGCATCACAGTAGGGTCGCAGGGATTGGCGGTCGGACCGATGTCGAGAATGAGGAGGGGATTCCCTCCGGGACGATTGCTCGGGACAGTCCTCCGTCTCGTGGAGGTCGAAGCGATCGCAGATGTCGCAGAACATGCGCGGACCTCGTACGACCGACCGTTTCTCCCTCTCCTTCCTACGACACGGTCTCGAACATGAGGATGGCGACATGGGACAAAGAGAGCGAGGCACCTCGAGGAAACGTACAAGGACGCCAAGGGATCAGACGTGTACACTTCCAGTCTGGCCCTGAGTTCGTCGTTTTTCCTCTGCATGTCCACTATGACCGAATTGAGAAAGTCCACCTGACTGAGGGCGGAGTCTCGCTCTGACGTTAACCTGGCCTGCATCGAATCTTTTGACACGAACCCACGGATCGCATGCATCAGAATCGATCGCAAGGAAATGCAGAAAAAGAGATCGAAGCAGAGACAGACCTCCATTGGAGAGAGAGTTTTTGGAGTGAGCCACAGCCACCTGCAGATCGACAACCTTCTTCTCCAGTGCATTCTTCTCGACCTCCAAGGCAGCAGCACCCTTTCGGACGGAATCCATGTTCATCACCTCGGACTCCAGGACCTTCAGCTGCGATACATAGAAATTAATGAGTGAACGTGAAACGATGCAACCATACCAGAAGACACAGACCAAGAGACATATACAGACCTGGGCACGCAGCTGCTTTATCTCCCCATCCTTAGATTGAATAAGTTTTTGCATTTGCTCCAACTCCTCACCGCTCATCTCCATCGTGGCCTGGGATTCCTCAGATCTGTTGAAAGCACGAGGTTGAAGCAGATTTCCACAGGTGGGAAACATATGAACACATTTTGCAAACAAACTTGAAAAGACGATCCTCAAGATCCTCGAGTTGCAATCTAAGTTCATCCATCTCGGTTTTGGAGGTAGTCTCTCTCTGAAGGAGCTGATTCCGCTCCTCCTCCACCTGTTCCAGGGTCAGCTGGAGTTCATCCACCCGCTTCCGTTCTACTTCCCTGGAAGCATCAATCACATGGGGTTGCATATTTACAATAATGTCCATCAAAATAGAGTCAAAGGAGGCAAAGATACAAACAGCAAGCTTCTGAGCTCTTCCATGGCAAGACGATCGGCTGCATTTTCCTCTACACGCTTCTGCAGCTCCTCCTGGTATCCCCGGAACGAAGCCTGGAGCCTCTCCACCTCGTCTGTCACTCTCCCCATCTTTGCATCTCGATCAGTCAGGGCTCGAGTATAAGCCTCCTTCTCCTTCTTTAGCCTCTCATTCTCCCCTTCTAACTTCTCCATCTCTACCTCCAGCTGATGATCATCAGGGTCATCAGACAAGCCTCAAACCTCACATGTCAAGATATCACATTCGCCACTCACCTTGCTTACGGTCTTTAACAGATCATCTCTCTCCCTCTGAAGCTCATACAGGCTGGCCTGGTCAACAGGAGGAAGTTCCTGGAGGAGTTTCTCTAACTCTCCAATCCGATCCTGTCATTAGCATCAAGGGAAGGGAAATTTAGATGTGCATATGAGGGAGAGTGACACTCACAAGGAAAATTATCTCCATCGAAAGGAGACAGTACCTGGGCCTCTGAGAGCTGGGCTTCCTTCATCATGGCAACCTCCTGAAGTTCATAGATTTCGAGTTCTTTGGTCTTGAGGAGATCATCTCGCTCGACGAGGAAGCCCTGGTTACTTGTGTCGAGTTTCTCCCTCAGCCCTCTCACTTCTTCCCTCTATCCCCAAAGACAAGGAGGAGGCACCATGAAGTAAATGCACAAAGACCAAGACAGACCTTTCCAGCAAGACAGAAAAGGAGACCCACGAGGGCCAAGATGAGTCGCTGGGCTTCATCCCATTTGGCCCCATACTCCCGTGCTTTAGCTTCCATCTCTCTCTCTCGTCCCTCAGCCATGGCCTGCAATGAAAGAATTTGATGAAACCAAAAGGAAAACAAATGTGAAAGGGTATGAGTTAGAGGAATGCAAGCTCCACCAGCTGAGATGTCTTCTGCTGCTCAGATGCAGATAAAGCATCCTGAGCTGCTGACAAATCTGTTTTCAGGTGTTCTATCGTTGACTGTCCCTCTACAAAGTGGATAGCATCCAAAGATCACTTCTTTGTGCCAAAGGCAATCATGAATGGGACAATCAAGAGTACCTTTGAGCGCATCTTTAAGACACTGAACCTCTTCATTGAGGGCATCTACTTCAAGCATTCTTGTGTTTAGTTGAGCCTTCAATTGACTCATTTCCTGTTCTTTGACCATACTGACTGCAGGAACTGGAGACTTCTCCTTCTCTACCTGCCTCTTTTGATCTATCTCTGCAATGTCTTCCCTTTTCCCTTCTTCTCCCTGCAACGCAATGTCTCACTCATGTAAATAAAGGCTAAATAAAACATCATTTTGGAGATGTATGTGGATCATGGGATGCACCTGAATATCAGCAAGGAGGAGTTCGTTCTCGTCCAGTCGGAACTGCAGCTCCTCGGACCTCAGCCGTTCATCTTTGAGTTTCTGCAGGGCAGCCTGACACTCCTTGTGGGCTTCTTCCAACTGTGCCTCTAGCTCCTCCTTTGTCTGCAGGAAGGTTGCAAGTCCTGAACAAACCCAGACCCTTAGGGAGGCCAGGACAGCAGAAAAAAACGTACTCGCTGTTGCTCCAGCTTCAGGGTATGGTACTGAGACTCCAAGTCGTTGGCACGAACCGAAACTCTTGCCACTTCGGCTCGCTCCAAGTCCACCTCTTGCAGGAGCTGTTCAACATGCTCCTGCTTCTCTTTTAATGATGCCTATCACAGAGACATCATCACTGGTACTATTTTGTCATCAATTCAAATGCATTCTTTCCAATAACTACAGCAAGAGGGACCTGTTTCCTAATACCTTTATGTTCACTCAGGTTCCTCCCACAGCACATTTGATGCAGTATGATGGGCTGTCTTTTTTATTATTATAAACTTTTTTCAAGTGTAAGCTTCTTCATGACCATGACCATTATATAAAGGTACTTATGTTTTCATCAGAAGCAAGAGCTACATGAAGGAAGGTGACTTAGGAATAAAGACATTTATTTCCATTTAACATATGGCACAATACAACAAAATTGACATGCAAAACACAAGGAGGGAATTAAAGAATAACACAAATTAGTGATAGAAGAAAAAGTCCTCCATTGCTGTCATGCCAGTAAGACCTCAGAACAAAAACTACAACATAACTTCAATTGGTTCAACTTTTTGCGTATTTTTTTTAATCATTAAGAAATTTCAGTGTCCTCTGGCACACCAGCTTAATTAAACTAGGTAAAAATCCATTTCCTTTCCTTCGGTTGTTCCACTCTTCCTCGCTGTCACGCAACCAAGTCATTCCAAGCTGCCGTGTCTGCCCTCTGTATACCTCTCTCACTGTTGCATCATTAGTACAAATCCTCGTCATCCCACCAGTCCTGAATTTCGAAACAGAAAGAAATTTCGCCACTGAGTTGGTACGCGATGGGAAAGTACCAGCATGAACTAGATTCTCCATCATGCTTGCTAGATGAGGACACAAAGACATCGAAAAAATTACTGAAGCAAAGAGCCTTGGGTCAACAAGTTAGTTGGAAAAGGGATTGCAGTCACTGCAAAGATTGAAATGATTATGAAGTTGTTCTGTCAACATTTTTGAAAAAGCAGGAGAGGTGAGTTGAAAAGTTGAAAGGATTCCGATGAGTTTGTAAAGTGACGATGGCGACGACGACTGTAACAGACTATGAAGATGACTGTTTCGGCCTCACTTGTTTCCTTTGGTCAGGCTGAAAGATGTGTTCATGAGACAGGGCAGCTTGGAAGGAGTGGGCATTGAGAGCCAGAGGAGGGATCTCATGCCCAGCACTGGTTAAGGTTAACCAAAGCACTAGGGATGGAACCTGCACCACACCTGGAACTAGTGGGATATTGTTATCTGGAGCTACTCAAGATATGAGGTCCATGCAACAATGCAAGCCAGCATAGGGTCATGGAAGTGTGACAAACCACCATAGAGCCATGGAAGTTTGGTAAACCACATCTCTTGGGATGTTTTATCTTTAGAAAATGTAAGTAATCACACCCCAATTATGCAATATATCACATTATTTAAAACCCCAAGCTGAAAAATCATTTGATTGCTTCTGACAATGTAATTGGAAAATTAAAAAAGAGAATTTGTTCATTAATGAGTAAGAAAGTGGAGCAAAACAAATGCAAGCATTCACATTTACTGTACAAGTAACTATCTTGTTGCATGGAACCTCAGAATGTCACACATGCAAAAGCATCTCTCTTCCTTCAATATATCTGCACAACCAGTATGTTGTCTTCAAGATTTAAATAACCATTATTATCAATCATAAAATGTACATTCTTTGTATTTTTGAGAGACAAAAAACCAGTTATATATATATTTAATTTAGTGACATATATTCTCCTTACTGGCTGTGAAAATTCATCTGATTCATCCATAACAAGAGAGTCCAAGAATGTGAAGATATTTTAGTGTTATGTAGTGAAATATTTGGAGGAAAGGTACAGCATTAAATACTGAGAAGAAGGGTCTCTAGCTTTTCTCTGAAGGAACTTAACTGAAGGAAAATTCATTTATTCCAAAATTTCAGACAGGCATCAATAAATTTTGCTATCAGTCTACATGCAACTTTTACTGTGACTGAAAGTAAAAGTACTGAAAGTAAAAATTAAAAATGGAAAAAACTCATTCCTCAATTGCTTTGTTAATATTAAGGTCCTAAACAGATGGTCTTCCTTGTAAAATCATGAAGAAAGAAGACCATCTGTTCAGAACCTGAATATTACTAATGATTCCATGATTTCCCTGATGATGTGCGAAGGTTTCAAACCATTCCTGAGCCTGATATGTAATGAAGGAATCTGAACACAAGAGCAGACACCTCAACTCTTGTTCTCCAAATGCACAAGGTTTTCCTCACATGGGAAAACAACACAACTGCCCCTGTTCCATAGCATGGAAATTAGTTCAGTTTGTCATTCCATGTATGAGTTCCTACAGCTTAAATTAGATGAGAGGCCTCTGCAGGCCACAGGAAAGACTTCAAACATCTGCACATCCTAGGGAATATGAAAAAAATCAGGGAATATTCTGTTCAGCATTAAAGTTCCTCTCAAGTAACAGTTATGAGGCAATCTTGGTCCATTAATATTTCACAGAAAATTCTCACTTCTCTGGCTAAGATCATCAAAAGCAACAGCTAAGTCACTTCAAGAGAGTGAAGTCAAGCAGAGCTCATTGCATTTGCTGATACATAACCTCATATACCCACTTCAATTAGTGTCAGTAGAATGATGGTAGATAGGAAGCAAGAAGTCAAAGACTGGCAGTAAAGGACACAAGACAAAGTTTGGCTCACCTGAAGGGCTGCAGTAGTTGCCGATGGTCCTGACAGGGAGCTTCTTCCGATGGACTTCTGCAAGTGAAAAAGAAGCTTAAAATCATGTTGAGTGCATGAAATGAGGAAAATTCCACAAAAGCTACTTTAGGCGTCGGTCTAAAGTCACAGAGAATCCAAACTCCTCATAAAACTGAACATTTCTTTTGGAAATTACAGGGCATGACAATTGGCCCAAATGCAGCTGTGACATGAACAGAACAAAGGCGAATAACATAGGTGAATGAGAAAATAATGAAGAGTAGTAAATGAAAATTATGGGGTGAGTGGCAGAAGCAGAGGAATGAAAAGGAAGCAAATCAGTGGAAACTGAACATACCTGATGGAATGATTATGCCATATGCACCATGAAGAAGGGGTAAAATAAAAAATGAAGAAAAGAACAGGGATAAGGAATCAAACATCATCCTTTCCATCACCAGAGAATAAAAGGATTAAAATATATTTTCCCAAGTACATTCAGCACAACCCAGTTCAAATTTTGTCCTGATCATTTAATTTCAGCGGTACTCCTACCATTTGCAATTCCCTTCTGATTTCACCAAAAGTAAGGCAAGAAGGCCTTGGGCTTTGTGATTAAGTATTTATGCAACAATGTTAGCATGTGGTACATTTCACAGGACTATTTCTCTTTTCAGTTCCCAGCAACTTCAAATGATTCTTGATTATGACTGAATGCAACCATCCCGGAACATCATGCCAGTTCAACCAATATAGAGTGGCAGTATATCATCAAAGCCTGATAACACCAGTTCTCCATCTGTGTTGAGTGGCAGTCTATAAATCTTTCGAAACGTGGACCTTATGCTTCTACTTTCAGATAAGATAACCTTGAAGAGCACACAATTCTACTCTCACTCTCAAAACCTTGAATATTCTTTTTAGAGCAGCTCAGCGTTTTTGTAAATATTTACTCCAGCTTCAACTTACAGCAGCTGCCGGCGTGTGCAGAACACTCAGTTCAATGTGAAATAATATAAATCTGTGACCCTTTTAAGTTCATTAGCAGCAATTAGCAGGAACATATGTGTAGATATTTTATATGTGGAAAGCCAAAAGCACTGCTTGCATTGCAGTGCGAAAATCCAGTCAACACACAACAGTTGGATTGGCTTGCTGGACACAGAAATTTCACTTGCCAATGCTGTAACAGAATCATCAGGGTCAAGGACAGTATTGTCATACATGAAAATATTTGAACTGATTTGACTGGGTTTACGCTAAACATTGCCTGGAAACCCTACATTTAAAATATTATCCAAGAACTCGAAGCATGGCATATGCCTGAGCTCAATCCATCACCACATAAGTAGATGGTATACTTTGTAATCAAAGAGGACTAACACCAGAGTTAGCAAAACTTACAAAAGTGAACTTCTCATGCATACTGTATCTACATTGAGTATTAGCAATGCACCATTGGATGAAAGGTGTGCAATGTATCATTACAGCTCCATACTTGGAAAGGGATCAGAGAATTTTCAAATCATGGAGCAATTGGAGGTGCTTGGGGCAAACAAGAGAAGGTGCCTCTTTGAGGAACCACATCTGACTGCATCAAATAGAACTTCCTGTCTTTGGAGTTATCATGCCAGAGGCAAATTCAAAGACTCTAGACATTAGACAATGCGATGCCTTTCACTCCTCAAGCCTCTACCACTCACCCCTGCCAGGGAAAGCAGGGTGAAAGGCAGCATACCTGAGGCCCAGAGAGCGACGTGATGCCAAGTCTTACCCGAGCCCCTCGATTGGCCGAAGCTGTGCTCGACATAGAACTCAAGCTCTCCCCGGATCCTCGTCTCTGGCGGGAACTCTTCCTTTGATAGGGAGATTTGCTCAACTTGTGAATAGGAGCAAACAACCCATGCTGCACGCGACACTCAAAGTATCTGAAAAGAAAATAACATGAAGGTCACACCAAATCATCTTCTTTCACGGGAGATCACGATGTCCTCGAGGACGCAATACGAATGACCGAGAGGATGGGAACCTTTTCCCGGCGACAGATCCATCATTCTTTCCGATGGGATCGTCCAGTTCCACTCCGGCCCATTCTCCAGGGGCAAATTCGGTCGGACCCAGGTACCTCAGAAAGCCGACTTTCGTTCCCGTGGTGCTCGTCACCATCACTCGATCCCCAAGCTTCAGATCCTTGAGAATTGCACCTGCGAGCCACAACATTTCAAACTCTTTCTTTGCAGCCTTCTATGAGAATAACAGAAAGAGAATGGAGGTGCTACAAACTCTTTTCACTGGCAGTTGGGCTCCCAGATTTAACAAAGGAGTTAATCATCCTTGTGGTTGGGATGTCGCTGCTGGCCCCATTGGTGGTCGGTGAGATGGGATCGTAAGTGAGTCGAGTGAGTCGCGAGAACACTCCATGATTGGGAGCGCATTGGAAGTATTTCACACCTCCGACGGATCCATCGTTCTTTCCTGTCAAACGAGAATGCTCAAGCCATCCATCAAAATGCCTGAAGGCATCCTCTAGCTATACGGAGACCTTGATGATACATCAAGAATCTTATGAATCATGCAGTCGAGAGACCTTGCACATTGCTGAGTCAGAATAATCTGAAATCTTCCTAACATTTCTGGAGGAGTATGTGGGTAGAAAAGATAATCTTCAATGGAGAGAAAGCGAGAGATAGAGACACAGAGATAAGAGATGGACCTACCTATGGGTTCATCAAGTACAACACCAGCCCATTCTCCAGGAGCAAATTTCACCTCTCCAATGTAGACAATGCTGCCAGATTTGGTTCCTCCAACGTAGACCCTCTGACCGACCATGAATTGGTCAGTGTCCTCGGTGAGAACCACGCTTGCATCTGGAGATGATTTCATACCAAATTGTGAAATGAATAATAAATTCAAGTACCATACAATATCAGTGCATATCACTAGGTACATCTCACATCTATGTGAAGAGATAGTACTTCTCAGATACAGGGAGGAAAGCAGCAAAATAGGTCACAAAAAAAATCTTTGCTTGGAAAAAGGTGTAAAATTACGTGTGACTACTTTTTTCAACTTTATTTTTCATATTTTTTTTTTCTGGGAGTGTAGAGATTACTGAAAAAGAAGGGGACAGACAAGAGCGATTGACCTTTATAATTCTTCTTGCGCATTTCTGACAATGTGCCAAAATGGAGACAAGCTGCAACAGCTTACCCTCACACCCCAGAAATGATAACTTTTGTCTGCCAGCTTTTTAATTGATCGTCTTTCCTCAGCACTTCAATAAGTGAAATTTTCAAGCCCTTCACGTCAACATTTCAAACGTTTGCAAGCAGCAACTTTGACAGAAAATCAGCACTTTTTTTTTATCCTCAAGGAACTCAAATTTCATTTAATTATCACAACAAAGAATGGGAAAGTGGCAGATGACGAGGCATATTTTGAGACTCAATCAGAGTCGAATCACAGGAACAATGCACTTTGACAGTCAAAAACTCGGAATGGCGATTCACAACTCCCTGGCAATCGGTACAAAACACAAAATCTGAAATAAAAACGGCATAAAGAGGAATGCGAAAGGATTACCAGGATCCACTATCCTCTTCCTGCCCTTCCTCTTTCTAATCGGAGGGCAGTACTTGGGAATTTCACAATGCACCATGGTTCACACGGAACGTACACTTTCGGGGCAAAGAGACGACGAGAAGACAGAGGACGGCAGTAAAGTGGATCCCAAAGATCGAGTGGTGGAGAGACAGAACGGAAAGGAAAGGGGAAAGGGGTACAGAGGGCATGACTCATGGTAACTGGTCTTGGTTTCCTACGAATGCGACAAGGAGACTGAATTTATGAGCTGACCTCCAAGCCAGATCGAGATCAGGAAACGAATGAACAATGGCTTCCTCTGAGGACACTACCAGAACGGTCACTTATCAATTCAACACCAATTTCTACTTCTCACCAATTATTGTTCCCTTGACAAATGGTGTCCTTCCTTAGAGACGACACTTTAGAGACGCACCGATCCGGCTCACGTGGTTCCATCGCCTGGCAGACTCAAAAGATGACCGGGGGCAAGTACTTCTACCGGTACTACTACTAATTCTATCTACACTGTAATTACTTCGCCCCGTGTCACTACCATTGATCAAAATACTACTGAGTAACACATTTGAACCAATCCGCGTAGGGAAACAGGAAGAAACCGACTTGACATTGTCAGCTGTGTCAAGGATGGCTCACAGTTCGCATTCACAGCCAGCATGGTATGCCTTCAGAAAAAAAAAAAACCCTGAGGAATCTGTTGATTGAGACAAGCGTCTCACCTTGGGCTCGCTTCTTCAGCTGACCAAATTTAGCGATCGCTCGAAAAGTCGCACTATTCATGCTCGGCTACCGAACAGAACATGTCAACAAGTTGACTCGGGGACAGGCAGTGCCTCATGATGTTGCCGATAGTCAAAGACAGAGCCGTTGATCCGCGATAGAGATCGAGAGCCGAGAGCCTTATTTGGGCATTCCCCATTCTCATGCTGGAATCTTGCCCTCGACAGGGTTGCGCAATCCCGTTCCCTCCATCCCATCGACATTCCCTCCGGCCTCTCGCCTCAAACAAGCCGACGAGAAACCCGATCCTCTAGAACCAACAATGCTCCGTAGGAAAATCTCGATCGAGTGTTAGCTTAGCGATGTTGTTCGGTCAAACGGATGAATGAAAATATTGCTTCACCGCCTCTTTTCTTCCGTTCGAGGTGTGTACGTTCCGGTTTGAAGGTCACGCATCATGAGCGCGATGGAGCAAGAAAGCAGCAAAAAAAAGAAGAAAGGAAATTAAAAAATGAATGCGAAAGGAAAGGGCCTTGAAGAAGAATAGCGATGCAACCGTGAAAGGTAGCAGACGACGCAGAAGTTACGTCATCCAGCCTTCTGCCTGTGGGCTTCGCTCCACGCTCGGCCTCGGGGCACGAACCATCACGTCTCCTAGGCGTGGTCCTTTCGCTTCCTTCATTCCGTATGTGTGCATCTGTCTCGTGCATGTCAATTCTCGAGCAGACCCTCGCGTCACGTACGTCCTCCACCCACGCAAAACCGTCTGCCTCGTAAGGACACGACGTGGGAACGATCGAAACCTGCCACCCGTCCGCGTTCGACCCTCGCGACACCCGCTCGCCCGACGCGCCCCTCCCCGATCGCGCGCGATTCGACGCGTCGAGGAAACAAACACCCAAAGAAGGAAAGGAACTCACTCGAGGTGCGTCTCATGACCCCCGCCTCGGACAGGCGACGAGCTTCCGACAACCGCCGCTGCTCCTCGTACAAGGGACTCATGGGATCTCCCAGTCCGCCTCCCCCTTCGTCACACACATCCAAGCATGCGGACAACATTGCACATCGCATCGCATGACATCACACCACATCACATCGCAAGCATGGGAACTCGACGCGAAACGAGTGCACATTCTCATTCGAAAAGGGGAAAGCCGGCATGCGAGCTCGACGGAACGTACCTGGAAACGCTCCCGAAGACCCGAGGCACGAGATACCGAACGATCGTAAAAAAAAGGAAAATCTCTGAAATATTACGAGTGTCGGGCAATTCATTTAGGGAGACGGTTGGCATCGGACCAAAGAACACGTTATTATAGCCTCAAAAGGCAATCTTTCTTCCAGACGATCGGCGTCTTCATTACACCTCGGATCTCTTTCGAGTCGGGTCACGTTCGATTCCTCCCTCGCGATCGGAGCCGATGGGGAAGTCACACTTCGACCCGTAAAGGAAACAGACGAAATGGGACGGGTGAAAGACTACCTGAATATCGATTCCGGCCGTAGACATCCTCACTGTAGCGACGAGGACCCCCGGATGCATTCGAATCCCCGACTAACGGGACGAAAAGACGAAGAAAGCGTCTTTCGTGGAAGCCCACGACGGGTCGTGTCAGAGGTCGGGGGGGGGGGTCACCCCCGACTTCCACGAACCCGAATCGAAACGAGAGAAGAGACGAGAGAACTCACACGACGATCTCTTGTACAGGTCATCGCTGTACCTCCTCGCCCCGCCGCCGGCCCCATCCGCATCTGATTTCGTTACGGGATTCATGCACGAGCACGAGGGAAGCCACTTCGCCCCGAAGGAAACGAAAAGGCGACTCACCCGAGAGCTTCCTCCTGGCCATCTCCTCCGCCAGGCGATGCACGGCGGTCGTAACAGGATCCCCCATCCTCTCTGCGTCACACACCACACCCGAACGACACGACGTTACGCGACTTCTCTCCCCGACACAAAGGAAAGCCCGAGATCGGGCACGAGGCGTGTCGGCTGCTTCCGATGGAAGCGGCCGACCCGACGCCGCAGAGCAGAGCTCTCTTCTCAAACCCTCAGACGGAAATCCCCGACGTCGTCCCCCCCCTCCCGTACGACGATCGAAAGACCGAGAACGACGAAGCGACCACTCACGTTCGCAGCGACGGCCAGACGTCCCCCGTTCCCGTTCGCACGCGACCCGACCCGTGAACCTTCCCGGAATCCGTGCAGGTGTCCGCGTCCTCGCGTGTGGCCCCCACCGAACGAGAGTTCGCAATGATCCGAGCGAGGGAGAGCGAGAAGGCGTTAGCCGTGGCAACGAGGGCCCCGGGGGCAGACGTAGGCCCCTTCCCTCCCACGTGGGAATCCGACATCCATTCCCCACCTGTGACCATATACGACCGACGCCGCAGACGAGGAGCGAGGCGGATCCCGTCGCGAGGCGGACGGGCGTGCGTGCATGCGATCGCGTCCGATCCGATCCCGCTTCCGCGACCCGAACCGCCTCGACGTGCCAGAGTCCCAAAAACGGACGAAAAACGACCGCCGACCGTCCGTCTCCCTTCGCCCATGCAAAAGCACGCCCCCTCGAGAAAGGCTCGCGTGTTCCATGCCCACGCCACCCGAGCATCCCCCCCCCCCTCTCTTTCTCTTTCACTCGACGACTCACTCTGGAAATCCTGAAGATCGTGTGCCGGACCGACGCTGGTCGGGATCTTGGACGGGGGTCGAAGCCCCGACCCGCTGCCGCTCGTCGTGCTCATCTCTTCGTTTCCTCTTCGCCTGCGAGGCCTTCTTCAGCTGCGAGGCCTTCTCCTCCTCCGAGTCCCATCTCCTTCGATCGAAAGGAACATCGGTCAGAAGGGGGGAAATGACGTCATCGTTTCCGCACGGAAAGAAAGACCGCCGAAGAGGGAACGGCCGCATCGATCTACGACCCCCTCGAAATAATGAATGGACGCGTAGTACCCGAATGCCACGAGCTCTTTTTGGAATGCCGAACCGACCACGCGGTACACAAAGACCGCACGCAAACCCCCGCACGTGACACCACTACGCTACATTTATCGTACTTCGTGCATTACTGGTACCCGCCCGAACCCCCCACGACACGAACTCACGCTCACCGTCTGTCTCGGACGACTCGCCCCGCAACAAAAGCAAGAGCGAGAAAGGTGAGAAAGGCGAGAAAGGCAAGAAAGGCGAGAAAAGCAAGAAAGGTGAGAAAATGTGGCAGATGTTATCTCGTGTCATCTCCAGCCGATGACGGGATATCTCCGATCGCGGGGCATCGATCATCCCCGTCGTCTCCCCATCGACGAGACCGGCCACCCGGTGGCACCCGGAGCCACCTAGAGCCGCTCGTCGGAACCCAGATCCCCGACTCGTTCGGATTCCTCTTGGATACCGCAGGCGTCGCTTCTCTCGCTTTCGATTCGCGTTCGTCGTCGCCCTGGATACCACTCACCCCATCGTCCCCTCATTTTTCTCCCTTTATGCGTCAAAACTCCACATCCGGGGACCGACGTTCGAACGAGACCGACCCGTCCGGATGTCTTCGCGACACCCGCGAATCGTCCGCGAGAAAACGCGACCCCCGTCGAACGAACCGACCGGCTGCAGACCGGTGACGACCCGTTTTCACCCGACTCGCGACGTCGGGTCACGACTCGGTCGCACTCGGCCCACCAGCGCCCACAGCTTCGACCGAGCCGGTCCCCACCGTACTCGGCAAGTACTCGTAAACCCAGTACCAGTTCCCCCCCCCCCCCTCTCATAAATAAAGAAACAAATAATGATTGATCCCTCGTCCTCGACATCCATCAATCCCCTCTTCTTCACCTCTTCATTTACATTTTCATAAATGTTTCGGAAGGGGATCACCGTCAGAAGTTCCTTCGGCAAACTCGACAAAAAACAAAGTGTCTCATCGTTCACGGGAGTCCCTTTATGCACTCCGACGATTCCTAAATTATTCATAAGGGGGGCGGTGCTCGCCCCCCCCCCGAACCACTTTCATTTCGCGGGCCCTATTTACAAATATAAAGAGGAAGAAAGTAAATATTATACCAAAAATAAATTATTCATAAATCTTTCAAACAGACGGACACATCCATAAGGAGGTCAGTCGCCCCCGACCCCCGACCCCCCGGCCCCCTACCCTTGCCCCTTGCCCCCCTCCCCACGGATCCGCCATTGAATCTTGCTCACCTTCCGACTCGCTTTCATTTACATTTCTACATCGAGCATCATGTCGAGACGCCCTGTTTTCCCCCCGCCGACTGGTGTCTCGAATCATCTCACAGCTCGAGAAAAAAAGGGGGGAAGAGGAAATGGGGTGAGTGGGGCAAAATGGTGAGTGGGGGGGGGGGGGGGGGGGAGA